TGCTCTTCAATCAAGAGGTGACCAAGAGAGCTCCCCGAATGTTGTAACGGGTATGTTGCAAGTCTTTTCCATTGATGTTTATGCATTATTAGACCCTAGTGCCACTTTATCTTTTGTTACACCCTTTGTGGCTATGAAATTTGATGTACTCCCCGAAACCCTAACAAAGCCTTTTTCGGTTTCTACCCCGGTTGGTGACTCGGTTGTAGCTAAAAAGGGTATATAGGAGTTGCCCTATTTCTTTGTCTTATAAAGTCACTTTGGTTGATTTGGTAGAATTTAGACATGCATGATTTTGATGTAATTTTGGGTATGGATTGGTTGCATGCATGTTATGCTTCAATAGATTGTAGGACCCGGGTGGTCAAATTTCAATTTCCAAAAGAGCCAATTTTAGAGTGGAAAGGGGGGAATTCTATTCCCAGAGGGAAATTTGTTTCATGTCTAAAAGCTAGAAAAATGATCTCAAAGGGATGCATATATCACATTGTTAGGGTTATGGACGTTGAGATCGAGACTCCTTCTTTGGAGTCGGTCCCCGTAGTGAGTGAGTATCCGGAAGTCTTCCCCAATGACTTGCCCGGTATTCCTCCCAAACGGGAAATAGACTTCGGCATTGATCTTTTGCCGGATACACAACACATACCCATTCCCCCTTACCGGATGGCTCCGATCGAATTGAAAGAATTAAAGGCACAATTCAAGGATTTGCTAGACAAGGTTTTATACGACTAAGCATATCTCCATGGGGTGCGCCGGTATTGTTTGTGAAAAAGAAAGATGGGTCCCTTAGGATATGTATTGATTACCGCCAATTGAACAAGGTCACTATAAAGAATAAGTATCCACTTCCTAGGATTGACGATTTGTTTGATCAACTCCAAGGGGCTAACCTTTTTCTCCAAAATAGATCTTCGTTCGGGTTACCATCAACTAAGGGTAATAGGTTGTGACATTCCTGAGACGACCTTTAGAACCCGGTATGGTCACTACAAATTTGTGGTTATCTCTTTTGGGTTGACAAATACCCCGGCGGCATTCATGGACCTAATGAATAAGGTGTTTAGACAATATCCTGATTCGTTTGTAATCGTCTTTATCGATGATATTTTGATCTATTCGAGGAGTGAGGGTGAACATAAGGATCATTTGAGGATAGTATTGCAAGTCCTTAAGGACCACCAATTATATGCTAAGTATAGTAAGTGCGAGTTTTGGCTAAGGTCGATTGCCTTCCTTGGTCATATTGTGTCGGGCATGGGTATTGATGTGATCCTAAAAAGATGGATGCGGTCAAGATTTGGCCTAGACCTCTAGCTCCTACCGATATTAGAAGCTCTTTGGGTTTGGCCGGTTACTATAGGAGGTTTGTTGAGGGTTTCTCCTCTATTACTTCTCCATTAACGACTTTTACTAAAAAAAAAGCAAAATTTGTGTGGTCGGAGGCTTGTGAGAAAAACTTCCAAGAATTGAAAGATAGACTTACGTCCGCTCTGATGTTGACCTTACCAGAGGGTACCGATGGGTTTGTGGTATATTGTGATGTTTCTCGAGTGAGTTTGGGATGTGTCCTTATGCAACGTGGTAAAGTGATTGCCTATGCTTCAAGGCAACTCAAGGTACATGAAAAGAATTATCCAACTCATGATCTCGAATTAGCGGCGGTGGTATTTGCCTTGAAATTTTGGAGACACTACCTTTATGGGTTCATGTAGATGTTTTCACCGACTACAAGAGTCTTCAATATGTGTTTAGTAAAAAAGAATTGAATATCCGACAAAGAAGGTGGTTAGAACTTCTAAAGGATTATGATATGAGTGTCCTTTACCACCTCGGCAAAGCCAATGTAGTTGCATATGCCCTAAGTAGATTGTCCATGGGTAGTGTGGTTCATGTAGAAGATGAGAAGAAGGAATTGGTTCGTGATGTGCATAGGTTGGCCCGGTTAAGTGTCCAACTTGTGGATTCCACCAAGGGTGGATTCATGGTCCATCATAGTTCTGAATCGTCCTTTGTGGTTGATGTAAAGTCTAAATAACACCTTGACCCTATATTGATGGAGTTGAAAGAATCGATTCTCAACAAGTCCGTTGAGGCTTTCTCCCAAGGGGGAGATGACTTAGGTACCAAGGTAGATTATGTGTTCCGGATGTTGATGGCTTGAGAGAGCAAATTTTAGAAGAGGCTCATGGTTCGCGGTATTCTATTCATCCGGGAGCCACCAAGATGTACTGTGATCTACGGGAGGTCTATTGGTGGAATGACATGAAAAAGGATATAGCGGGTTTTGTGGCCAAATGTCTAAATTGTCAACAAGTTAAGGCTGAACACCTAAAACCGGGAGGTTCATTTCAAGATATAAATATTCCCACTTAGAAGTGGGAGGAGGTGAATATGGACTTTGTGGTGGGTTTGCCTCGTACTCAAAAGCAACATGATTCTATTTGGGTCATTGTTGATAGGATGACTAAATCAGCCCACTTCATTCCCGTAAAGGTTACTTTTTCAGCGGAAGACTATGCCAAATTGTACATCAAGGAGGTAGTGAAGTTGCATAGGGTTCCTTTGTCTATCATTTCGAACCGGGGTGCTCAATTTACTTCACATTTTTGGAAGGCGTTCCAACAAGGGATTGGTACAATGTGAAACTTAGTAACGCTTTCCACCTTCAAACGGATGGTCAAGCGGAACGCACCATTCAAACCTTAGAGGACATGTGAGGGCATGTGTGATTGATTTCAAGGGTAATTGGGATGATCATCTCCCATTGATAGAATTTGCCTACAACAATAGTTACCACTCAAGCATTGCCATTTCTCCGTTTGAAGCACTATATGGTAGGAGATGTAGATCTCCGGTTGGTTGGTTTGAAGTAGGTGAGTTTGCTCTAATTGGTCCTGAACTAGTTTATGATGCTATTGAAAAAGTTTGACTCATAAGAGAGAGGTTGAAAACGACCCAAAGTCGGCAAAAATCTTATGCCGATGTTAGAAGGAGGGATCTTGAATTTGAGGTTGGTGATTGGGTCTACTTGAAAATCTCACCTATGAAAGGTGTGATGAGAGTTGGTAAGAAGGGGAAGCTTAGTCCCCGGTATGTGGGCCCATACCAAATCTTAAAACTTGTTGGGAAAGTTGTATATGAATTAGACTTGCCAAATGAGTTGGCCCCGATTCACCTGGTGTTTCATGTTTCCAAGTGTATTGGTGATCCGGTATCCATCATTCCTTTAAAGGGTTTAGGAGTTGATGAAGACCTTTCTTATGAAGAGGTCCCAGTTGAGATCTTGGACCGGCAAGTAAAGAGGTTGAGAAATAAAGAAGTAGCCTCCGTTAAGGTTTTATGGGGGAATCACTTAGTTGAGGGTGCTACTTGGGAGGCCAAGGCTGATATGAAGTCCCGTTACCCTCATCTTTTTCCTTCTACTCCTATTCAAACTTGAGGTAAGTAATTCCTCTTGAGTTTTAAGTGTTTGGGAGTCATGTGTATTGTATGAATTATCCATGATTTCCTTATAATGTGCATGTCCTTGTGAGAATTGATGTTTAGCATATATTGAGTTTTCATGATTTATATAGATTCCTCATGTTGATTTGCACTTTAGTATGATAATTGCATTTTTGACTTCATGAGGTAAATTGATAAACATGCTTAGTTATGTTTTGATGAATGGCTTATTGGCTCCATATTGTTGTGTTGAGCTTACTTGAGATGGAGAAGTTAGTTCCTCCCATGTTGATGTAAATTGATGAGTTTCATGCATATTGGGATGGCAGATGTAGTTCCTACTTCCTTGTATTGCGTTAACCATGTTGAGAAATGGAGTTGAAGTTTCCTCCTTTTGAAAAGTACATAAAGTGATTGTTGCATTTGTGAGTTTTGCATATTTTGATGCTTCATGCATGATGGGCTGCTAATCTAGAGTTTCTAACTTAGTTTGGTGTTTTGGTCATCATTCGGGGATGAATGTTCCTAAGGGGGAGATAATGTAAAACCCCGGAAATCTAATGACCTAAGATAGAGCCTAACATGTAGTCTAGTAGCCTAATAAAGTTAAAACGTAAGGTTAGAGTCCTAAAATAACTTCCCTAACTTAGTACTAGGGTTTTAGTGCCTAAACGTCAAGGCACGACCCCCTAGGACCCCCTTAAGGGTCCTTGAGGAGGACCCAAAGGAAGGTCCAAAAAGTTGTAAAATATAGCATGAATCACGTTTAGGCACCCACGAGCCGTAGTGAAGAGAACTAACACAATCCTCATGAAAATCAAAACAAGACAAAGATAAGGAAAACATGTTATGAAGTTCATATTTAAAACTACAAATGGTAGGCATTTTCCAACTATAATCTAAACAAAATGGAAACTTAAATTTGATTCAAACGCAACGTTGAGCAGTGAAAGGAGAGCAAAGTCAGAGCATGAAGAAAGAAGCAGCCAAATATCATTGGATCGAACTTAACTTTGACGTGAACACTAAAATTTTGTCTTATCTCAACTTAAGGGTAAGGATGATTAAAACAACAAGCAGTCGCCTACTTAGAATGGAAGGAATCGCCTAGTTAGAATGGAAGGAACTTTAACAAAGAAAACAACACAAAATAATACTTCAGCAACTTGAAACATGTAGCTTTTTGACTCGTTTAAACTCAACTTCTTAGTTACAGCAAACTGGAAACAAATAACTCGTAATGTAGGATAACAGGGCATGTACGACCATTTATGCTTTCCTATAGAAAATGATTTCGGACTTCATGACTGAACCACGACTTTCACAGCCAACCAAAACAGTGAAATAAGAGGACTTACAAGGAGACAACAGGCAAGCAAACAACATGAATAGCAAACAAGATACACCACTGATTTACAGTCTAATAATAAGTCGAAACACTTTCAAAAATTTCTAACATCTGAACGAATTACAAAGATCAAGAAGTAAACAGTCCACACATCACTTGAGCAGCAAGATAACAATATCCAACCATGAAACTAAATTACTGTTCATTTTCAGCCAAGTTTTCCCTTCTAATAAGAAATGACATGTATATATTCTGATAGGTTTCAAAGTTTTGGACTTACATGGACAATTCGAGAGCGTTCGCCAACAAAAGATTTACCATCATGACCATGCGTATGGACGTGTAAATGTAACTCACTTGGTGTTGGATCTCGACCCTTTTCAATAGCCTTTACAAAAGAAAAATCACTTTTTAGATACAAAAATATTGATTGCATAATGTGTATTTAGATACAAGTGTATATATGAGACAACCTAAAGATGTTACTTATATAATTTATGAAATATATACTTACAAGTTTCTTACGATGCTCTCCAATTGAGATAGAGCCACCTGTGTGAGTCCCAGCAGCA